CAAACCATGATGCAGAAAAGACCTCATGTTACGTACATGCCAACATTCCCTTACCTTCCCTTGGTATAAAAACATTCAGTGGCAACAAGAAGCAATCTGTGAGTCACTGAAACGACTAATGATACTGATAAGATATTTATTGAAAAGAATCGTTTCTGTGTGTACATAACAAAACCGTTTGTTACAGTTCTTTGAGTAATAAAACAACAAATTGGTGATTAAAAAGAATAGCATTTCCACCATAAAATTAGTGATAACACCATTGTTCATTCTTGAAAGTTGGATAAATACTGGAACAAAAAAAAAAAAAAACCTGGCAAGAATACAGTAGTTACTCACTGTGAAGAATCTGAAACTTGTTACCCTGTGTCACCAATTTTCGTAATTTTGCACTACTCCTGGAACTTTGTAATGGGACATCTTAATCTCAAGTTCAACTCAACACACACACACACACACACATATATATATATTACATTGTTTAAATTTGTTGTGGGCATAATCTTTTATTATTTAAAATGAGACTTCTATTGCAATTCTTTGATTATTAATGGATCTAGTGAATTTTGATTTTAAAAAAAAAAAAGTTGGACTAAATGGGCAGAACTCAGAAAATTACATTATTTCAACTAGTCATAGGACCCTAGATATTTCATTATTCAATCCCTCAAACCCTATCCCTACCACATTTAGAAAAGAAAATGCCTACCTGTTTCAGCCATTTTTCTTTTACAGCTTAAGTGGTTTGAGGAAAATGGAAAGGGAGGCGAGGAAAAAGAAGAGAAAATAAATTATAGCCAATCAAATTATATCGTTACTCCATCAACTTAATTTGATTAATTAAAATAAGGTTAATTCTTCTTCCTTTCCCTCCTTTACCTCTATTTTTCTCGAACCAAATAGCTTATTCCAATGTAGAAAAACATTGATTTTAGAAGCCTGCTCCTTCAACATATTGGATAACTCGTTTAAAAGTTTTGGTTAAGAAAGAGAAGAAGTGTGGAGGAAAGCCAATAAATCTAGCAACGTGGAAGACTTGTACTTTAAAAAAATAATAATAATATTCCATGGTCCTTATGCCCTGACAAGAGAAACTAATCTCCAAAGCAACTCTGGGTTTTCTCTTTAAGGGGAGTGCTTGGTTGGGAGAAATTTTTTCTTTTAAAGTTTTTAAAATTTTTTTATTTATAAGATTATTTATATATTTTTATATATTAGTATTACAATATAAATGTGGGTAAGAGTGACATTTTGAATATTTTTTTTCTTGACACAATAAATCTTAATTTGTAAAGTTTTTTCCCACTTATTTTGAAAAAAAAAAAATTTCTTCTAACTTTTCATATATTGAATCCACTTAACAACTTCCCTTCTAACTTTCCCTATATCAATTTTTTTTTCTAAACATAACAAAATTCATAATCTAACAAAACTTTATTACAAAATTTAACAATTTTTTATACAATACTTTTTAATTTTTTGTATAATTCTTTTTTAACTATTTTTCTAGTAAAGGGAACCTCAAACCAAATAGGCCCTTAAAGATGCAAGAGGGTAGCATCGATTACAAAACTTTGTAGTTTATAGTATTATGAGCTTTGGGCTTCAGGAATAAGCGGAGCTGTGTGAGTGCTGATTACTAGTATTTTGTGCCGCTTTCATGTCTTTTCTTGATCATCTAGGCTTTACGAGGCTATTTGGTTGGCCACTTCTCTGAATAAAGAATTTGGAAAAGTCGAGCTAAAATTGTTGTTAGCTTGATTTACGATGTATAATTTTTTAAGAAAGTGGATATAAGTAATTACAAATTGAGGTAATTGATGAAAAAGGCCGGATTCTTTTCCCTACTCCCCCCACCCCCAAATAAATAATCAATTATTTGTAGTTATAATTTATTATAACCCTGATAATCATTTCTATTCTTTGTGTAATCACTTATAAATTTGTATTGATATTTATGTCAAAATTTATAAGATTCTGAACCAAATCATATTTTTGTTGACTAACAGTTTTTTTAAAAATGCCTTATAAGATAATTAATCTTAATTAAAAACCCTTAGATGCTACTTAGAAGTAGTCAAAATTAACTGCATGCAATTGCTCTCAAGTATAGATATAGTTTGTTGAAGATGATTTGGTTTCTTACATAAATTAACTAGTGCATAGTTTGATCAAATCATTTATGCATGGTCAAATTTCCTACATTAACACTTCATATTTGGAAAACTCAAATCAAACATGATGAGATGCTAATTTTGATCCTTAAACCTTAAACTTTGCAGTGTTTTAGTCCTTTTAACAATTTAGTCCTTTCACTAATCATAAAATCTATATTAAGAGACCAAAACGTGCTTCTTAAATTTTTTTTTTTTTTCTTTTGGTATGCTTGTATTTCTTTGTAAATCAGTTTGCCTTCTCTTTCGAAGGTTTCATATGTTATCTTGCATCCATGCTTTCATCATCTTTAATCATATCATAATTAATTTTGCAAACAGCCCCTCTTTATTGGAATTTTATCTCATATCTCCATCAAGGGAAGTACACCTACCCTTGATGACAGCAGTAGGAGGGTAAAGTAAAACAAGGAGTTTTTTACTTGCACGTTCTCTCTTGGGTATTGATTATGATTATAGTTAATTTTATTAAGGTTATTGTATTTATTAAATTTTTATTTGAATTTAATTGTTAAAAACATTTAACAATTAATAAAATATTTAATATTTATTATTTAATTAATTAAAAATAATTTATAAATAAATATTTTTAAATATTATAATTAAT